GCTTAAAGTTTTAATAGCCCTTGAAAATATTTCTAAAAATCCCACGATTATAGTCCTTGAAAACATCCTTAAAGATTCCAAGCTTAAGGTTTTAAAGGTGTTTGAAAAAGTTCCTAAAAATTTACGCTCATTGTCCTTGAAAATATTCCTTAAAATCCCACGCTTATGGTCCTAGGCCATATTCTTAAAGATCCCCCTCTTTAGTCCTAGAAAACATTTTTCAACGTCCCAGGCGTAGAATTTTAACAGTCTTTGAAAATATCAAAAAAAAAAAAATCCCACACTTTCGTCCTTCAACATTTTTTTGTTTATTTTCTAACCACTGTGCCTCATATCCAGGTGCACAGCCTGTCGAACTACAACATCAGCGACATGCCTAAACATATGCAATTAATTTAATGTCATTTATTTCAATTCATGTAATTTGTCTCTATTGTGTTTGTCGGCGCCGTTTGCCTTAAATGTTTAATGGCTGTGGGTAAAGGAGGTGTGCGTGAGCAAGTTCGCAAGTGTGGCTGTGTGTGTGTATTTATAACAATTAATTTCCCAAATGTATTCAAAATTTCACAACAATTTCATTTGTAATTCCCCTTGGCAATCCTTTCGTCAGTTTGGCCGGACAAGAAACTACTACCGGCAGAAAGACTGATAGCAGCGATCGAGATGGTAGAGGAAACATCCAACGGAAGACAGATGACTTGGTGTTCGTCCACTACCATATTCATATCAAATATTTCCATATATATGGAACATTTCGGAAATTTGTGTAAAATTTATCCTCCAAGATAAGATAATGGAATTTTGTAGGAAAAAAAAGTTCCCAAAAAATTCATAACAAAATATTTACCAGTGGCAATTAAATTTGGACCAATAACAATTCCATATCGCATTCCGGCGAAGCGAGAATGTGGAACAAACTTTTTGATTTCCTTTGGCTTTGTGAGAGTGTATATGAATAAATTGTCCAAAACTTTTATCACAAAAGTGGGTCATATCTTTTTCTCGAAATGCTATTGTTTGTCCACCACCAAAAACAAAACATGTTAACCCAAAACTTAAATGGCCTTCTCTTTCATGGAAGAGATTTATCAGTAACCAAAAACAAAAAAAAAACGAAAACTTTTTTTGGTAACGGCCATTATTAAAACTTAACTAAATGACTTTGTCTGTAGCTCCAACATATTACTGGGTTACCAATGGATTTTGGGATTGGTCCAACCTCCCTCCCCTCACCCACATTTCCTTTTTCCAGTTAAACGTTTCAATTCTGGCGATTTGCAATGCCAGTCTATGAGGGGCAACCAAAGGGGAATTCTTTCAACAACTTGATTGATGACCGCTTGTCACTGACAGATGACATGCGTGTTGTTATAATTGCTCTTATTCCCCTACTTGTTATTGTTGCTGGTGCTGTTGTTATTTTTGTTGTTATAATTTTTGTCAGTTTGTATGACGAGAACCTTTTGTCCTTTCGGCAAAAAGTTTTCAACAACAAAGACACAGCCTTTATTTGTTTTGTTTCTAGCCGGATTCGAGAGGCCGAGAGGCAAAGGGAGAGAGGGATGGAGCGGAACATGGCCATGAATATCATCAAGTTTTATTTGAATACATATAATGATATCATAATTATACATGATTGTGTTTTTGTTTGTCAAACAAATAAATTAACATATGGTAAAACATGCATTTTAATTGTCAACGCACAAACACACACACACGCACACAAAAGTATACAATGAAATGGTTATTTGTATTCATGAGCCTTAAAGTATGCTTTAGATTTAAATTGTGGAAAATTTTTGGGAAAAAATAAAAAAATTCGCAATGCATGCAAGGACTTCAATAGTTGCAAGGACTATAAACCTAGGATTTTTAAGGAACACAGAAATTTTTAATAACATTTTCAAGGACTATAAGAGTTGATTCCGAAGGGATAAAAGACATTGGATTCACAAAAATATTTTTAAAGACCAAAAAGTGGGATTTTTTAGAATGGTTTCAAGGACTATCAGAATCCTTAGCGTGGGATTTTTATGAAGACCTTCAAGGAAGATAAACGCAGTGGGATTTTTAAGAATATTTTAAAGGACCAAAAAAGTGCGATTTTTAAGAATGGTTTTAAGGACTATCAGAATCCTAAGCGTGAGATTTTTATGAACACCTTTAAGGACAATAAACGCAGGATTTTTAAGAATATTTTTAAGGCTCTCGAACTAAAGATTATTTTCAAGGACTATAAGGAATTTTTAGGAATATTTTAAAGTATCAAAAGAGTTGGACATTTTAAGGACTACCAGAATCCATAGAATGATAAACATAAGATTTTTAAGAATTTTTCCAAGGTCCTGAAACCTCAGATTCTTAAGCATATTTTCAAGGGATTTTAAAGCATATCTTCAAGGACTATAGGTGATTTTTAAGAAGGATTATAAACGTTGGATTTTAAGCATATTTTCAAGGACTATATGTGATTTTTAAGAAGGACTATAAACGTTGGATTTTTAAGAATATTTTAGAGGACTAAAATAGTGGCAAAACTAGTTTCAAGGACTATCAGAATCCATAGCTTGGGATTTTTATAAATGCTTCTAAGGATGATAAACGTAGGATTTTTAAGAATATTTTGAAAGACCAGAAACCTCAGATTCTTAGGAATATTTTCAAGGACTATAAGCGTAGGATTTTTAAGCCTATTTTTAAGGACTATATGCGCTTTTTAAAAATATTTTTACGGAATGTTTTCAATGACTTCATAAGTGGAAATTTTAAGAACATTATTGCGGAATTTTTAAGAATATTTTCCAGGACTAAAAGTGGGGGACATTTTAGAATATTTTCAAGGACTATAAGCGTGCGGTTTTCAAGAATATTTTCAAGGACCTCATAATTGGGATATTTAAAAATATTTTAAAGGACTATACTTAAGGGGTTTTTAAGTGAGGTTTTAGGAATCATTTCGAGGACCTAAAACTTAAGATATTTAAGAATATTTTCAAGGACTATAAACGTGGGTTTTTGAGAAAAAATTTCAAGGGCTATGAGTGGGGGATTTTTAAGAATATTTTCAAGGATTTTAAGCGAAGCTTCATATTTTCAAGGACCCCAAACTTGAGATTTCGAAGACTATACGTGGGAAATTGTTAAAAATATTCTCAAGGACTTTGAAAATAATCAGCTTGAGTTTTTTAAGAATATAAGCGTGGAATATATAAATGTGGAATTTTTAAGAATATTTCCAATGACTTTAGGGGAGGTTTATATATTTTCAAGGACTATAAGTGAGGGATTCTCAAAAAAATTTTCAAGGACTATGAAAATCATCATTGTTGGATTTTTTAAAAATATTTTCAAGTACCAAAATTTTTAGAATATTTTCAAGCACTTTGAGGAATATGAAAATGATCAGTGGGAATAAGCATACTTTCGACTACCTCAAACTAGAGTTTTTAAGGATATTTAAATTTTTAAGAATATTTTCAAGGACTACGAAAATCATCAGCGCGGGGTTTTTATAAATATTAGCAAGTACAAAAATCGTAGGATTTTTGGATTGATTTTATCAAACTCGGGATATTTAAGAAAACTTTCAAGAACTATCATCGCTCATTACCGCAATACTCGCACCTTAGCGCGACGTCAAGGAAGTGGACGGAAGAAAACAGCAACATCAGCAGAAATGGTTTGAAAAGTAAAGAAGCGACTTGATCGCAGTGATCGACCGGCGTCGCAGTGGCGGAAAAATGGCTCGTGAGCTGAACATTCCATTCGGCAAATATTGGAAAATGATCTAAGGGTAAAGCTAGTGAAATTCCAAAAAAAAAAAAAAAAACAAGAACTTACACCGCAACAGGAAGAAAATAGACTCAAAAGAGCTAAAGAGTTGCTTCGCTTGGCCGAAAGTGGTGAACTGCCGAATTTGGCTTTCTCCAATGAGAAAACATTCGTTGTCCAGCAGATTGTAAACAAACAAAATGATCGTGCTTACTTGCCAAAGAGGTCAGCTGAAAATGTGCTCCTTCGATTGGCCACCAGAACTCAAGCGACACTAAGGTGATGGTGTGGGTCGCCATAACAACCGATGGTGGCTCTCCGCTCGTTTTAATGGATCGTGGCATCAGAATAAATGCCGAATATTATCGCGAAAATATGGAGGGATTATTAAAGCCTTGATCACGCTAACATTTTGGCCTCAGACCTTGGACATTCCAACAGGACTCACTACCATCGAACTCAGCACGCTCCACCCAAGAATGGTTAAAAAATGAGGTTCCGCTTCATTTCCAGCGCACAATGGCCACCGAAACCTCCGGATACCAATCCGTTGGACTATTGTGTCTGGAGTATTTTGGAGAGCAAGGTTGGAGCTTAAAAATACCAAAGTGTCGATCATCTCAACCAAGCGCTTCGCCGGGAATGGGCTAAAATACCGCAGAGCAACATTCGGGCTGCGTGTGACGGTTTTATTTGCCGTTTGAAGGCCATAATTCGTTGCAAGGTGACCGATTCGAACAAATCTAAACTTATTCTAAAATTTGATGCTATTCCCGACATTTTTTGCTTTCATTAAATAAAATTAAAAAAAAATGTAAAAATGATGGCGTTTGACTTTGTTGCAGTTTTTTTTATCTAACCCTGTACACACGAGTAAATTATAATTACGAATTTTAATCAATAAAACAACTTATTATTAATTATTTAATCTATAATCAAAATACATAAATATCCAATGAAACGAGTGGTTTTTTGGAAAAAATACAATTTTTATAACTTTTTCTATTAGGCATGCACTTTACAACATTTTAAAATTAAATTCCCCTTGACGTCCTCCCAGGTCTAATATCGGATGTGCGGTTGTTTTACAAATTATTTCTCAAAGTGAGAATGGTTCTTTTTCAAAATCATGTTAATTGTTATGGATTCTTTAAGCGGCGCAATAAACGAAAGCTAATGCAAATTTAATACTGGTAAATAAAAAAAAATATGAATAATTGTTGGCTTACCTTGAAATTTGGTGTTTGCTGTTGGTATTACAACTGAAAGAGAAAGAAGAAAAACAAACAAAAATGATTATATGGAAATTAACATTTGCTTGCCACAAAAACGAAACAGTGACATAGTTGCCAGCATAAGCAAAAATTGCATGTATAATTTTGAGAAATAAAGGTAAGAGCATAATATATCCGTAACTTCTAAGGACACATACTTGCTATCAATTGTAAAACATATAGTAGGAGAAACTGGACTTACTACGTTCTCTTACGCAACAAAAAATGTATGCAAGGGTATGGGTGCAATAAACACAAATATGCTGGAAAAACACTTGTATTTATTTTCCACACATAACATAACAGTAAAGAAAACACAACCATCTGAAACATTGAAATTTCTAATAAAATATTCATTGTGCCAACAGAGACATAGCTTTTGATAGTTTGCATAAGTAGCTCAAGAGGAAGCACGAGAGGATGTATACTAAGATGTAGAGAATTCAAAGGATACACTTTTCAAGACTGACAAATAAAGCTGTTATCAGAATAACAAACGGTTTTCTCATAAAAGCTCAAGATCTTCTAATAAAAGAGCCCAAGGCCTCTCAAGGTCTTCTCATAGAAGAGCTTTAGATCTTCTCATAGAAGAGCTTTAGATCTTCTCATAGAAAAGCTTTAGATCTTCTCATTGAAGAGCTTTAGGTCTTGTCATTAGAAGAGCTATAGATCTTCTCATTAGAAGAGCTTAAGGTAGGTCTTCTCATAGAAGAGTTTAAGGTAGGACTTCTCATAGAAGAGCTTAAGGTAAGTCTTCTCATTAGAAGAGCTTAAGGTAGGTCTTCTCATTAGAAGAACTTAAGGTAGGTCTTCTCATTAGAAGAGCTTAAGGTGGGTCTTCTCATTAGAAGAGCTTAAGGTCTTCTCATTAGAAGAGCTTAAGGTCTTCTCATTAGAAGAGCTTAAGGTCTTCTCATTAGAAGAGCTTCCTCTCATAGAAGAGCTTGAGGTCCTCTCATAGAAGAGCTTAAGGTCTTTTCATAGAAGAGCTTGAGGTCTTCTCATAGAAGGGCTTGAGGTCCTCTCATAGAAGAGCTTGAGCTTGAGAAGAAAGAAGAGCTTAAGGTCTTCTCATAGAAAGCTTACGGTATTAAATATTATTAAATATATTTTTCCGATACGACCCAATGTAGTGTCAGCTGGCTGACTCATAAAATATTTAAATTACTTTAGCACCAAAAGAAAGCAACAAAACATCACATAAGCTCTTTCACATCCTCATGTGTTTATGTTAGTCCATGTTGGTTATATGCTTTTATGTTGCACTTGACCAGGAAACGATAACAAAATTTTTTAGCAAGAACAAAGAAACAAATTCAAAGATGTTGGAACAATACAAAATAAAGCTCCAAAGATCAAGCAAAGTGAAAAGCAAAGAGAAAAACACAGGATTGTGGTTGGCCACTAAAAAGAAAATTTTAAAATTGACGACAAAAAACTGTTCTCCATGAATTAATATTTTCATATTGGATATGCCGGTCCCTTTTAGTATTTAAGGCTCTGAATTTTTGAAAACTCGAAATAGAAGGCTTATTGGCCTGATGGTACTTGGAAATATATTCTTTAAAAATCCGCGATTTGTAGTCTGTTGGTCCCTTGAAAAAATATTCCTTAAAAACCAACGTTTATTGGTCTGTTGGTCCTTGTAAAAATATTCTTTAAAAATCCACGTCTATTGGTCTGTTGGTTCTTGAAAAATATTCTATTAAAATCCACGTTTATTAGCCTGTTGGTCCTTGAAAAATATTCTTTAAAAAATCCACGTTTACGGGTCTGTTGACCCTTTGAATAAATATTCTATAAAAATCCACGTCCATTGATCCTTTGAAAAAATATTCTTTAAAAAATCCACGTCTATTGATACTTTGAAAACATATTCTTTAAAAATCCACATTTATTGGTCATGTGGTCCTTGAAAAAATATTCTTTAAAAATCCACGTTTATTGATTATTCGATCCTTGAATAAATATTATTTAAAAAATCCACGTTTATTGGTCTTTTGGTCCTTGAAAAAATATTCTTCAAAATTCCACGTTTATTGGTCTTTTGGTCCTTGAAAAAATATTCTTCAAAATTCCACGTTTATTGGTCTTTTGGTCCACGTCTATTGATCTTTTGAAAAAATATTCTTTAAAAAATCCACGTCTATTGATCTTTTGAAAAAATATTCTTTAAAAAATCCACGTCTATTGATCTTTTGAAAAAATATTCTTTAAAAAATCCACGTCTATTGATCTTTTGAAAAAATATTCTTTAAAAAATCCACGTCTATTGATCTTTTGAAAAAATATTCTTTAAAAAATCCACGTCTATTGATCTTTTGAAAAAATATTCTTTAAAAAATCCACGTCTATTGATCTTTTGAAAAAATATTCTTTAAAAAATCCACGTCTATTGATCTTTTGAAAAAATATTCTTTAAAAAATCCACGTCTATTGATCTTTTGAAAAAATATTCTTTAAAAAATCCACGTCTATTGATCTTTTGAAAAAATATTCTATAAAAAATCCACGTCTATTGATCTTTTGAAAAAATATTCTTTAAAAAATCCACGTCTATTGATCTTTTGAAAAAATATTCTTTAAAAAATCCACGTCCATTGATCCTTTGAAAAAATATTCTTTAAAAAATCCAGGTCTATTGATACTTTGAAAACATATTCTTTAAAAATCCACATTTATTGGTCATGTGGTCCTTGAAAAAATATTCTTTAAAAATCCACGTTTATTGATTATTCGATCCTTGAATAAATATTATTTAAAAAATCCACGTTTATTGGTCTTTTGGTCCTTGAAAAAATATTCTTCAAAATTCCACGTTTATTGGTCTTTTGGTCCTTGAAAAAATATTCTTCAAAATTCCACGTTTATTGGTCTTTTGGTCCACGTCTATTGATCTTTTGAAAAAATATTCTTTAAAAAATCCACGTCTATTGATCTTTTGAAAAAATATTCTTTAAAAAATCCACGTCTATTGATCTTTTGAAAAAATATTCTTTAAAAAATCCACGTCTATTGATCTTTTGAAAAAATATTCTTTAAAAAATCCACGTCTATTGATCTTTTGAAAAAATATTCTTTAAAAAATCCACGTCTATTGATCTTTTGAAAAAATATTCTTTAAAAAATCCACGTCTATTGATCTTTTGAAAAAATATTCTTTAAAAAATCCACGTCTATTGATCTTTTGAAAAAATATTCTTTAAAAAATCCACGTCTATTGATCTTTTGAAAAAATATTCTTTAAAAAATCCACGTCTATTGATCTTTTGAAAAAATATTCTTTAAAAAATCCACGTCTATTGATCTTTTGAAAAAATATTCTTTAAAAAATCCACGTCTATTGATCTTTTGAAAAAATATTCTTTAAAAAATCCACGTCTATTGATCTTTTGAAAAAATATTCTATAAAAAATCCACGTCTATTGATCTTTTGAAAAAATATTCTTTAAAAAATCCACGTCTATTGATCTTTTGAAAAAATATTCTATAAAAAATCCACGTCTATTGATCTTTTGAAAAAATATTCTTTAAAAAATCCACGTCTATTGATCTTTTGAAAAAATATTCTTTAAAAAATCCACGTCTATTGATCTTTTGAAAAAATATTCTTTAAAAAATCCACGTCTATTGATCTTTTGAAAAAATATTCTTTAAAAAATCCACGTCTATTGATCTTTTGAAAAAATATTCTTTAAAAAATCCACGTCTATTGATCTTTTGAAAAAATATTCTTTAAAAAATCCACGTCTATTGATCTTTTGAAAAAATATTCTTTAAAAAATCCACGTCTATTGATCTTTTGAAAAAATATTCTTTAAAAAATCCACGTCTATTGATCTTTTGAAAAAATATTCTTTAAAAAATCCACGTCTATTGATCTTTTGAAAAAATATTCTTTAAAAAATCCACGTCTATTGATCTTTTGAAAAAATATTCTTTAAAAAATCCACGTCTATTGATCTTTTGAAAAAATATTCTTTAAAAAATCCACGTCTATTGATCTTTTGAAAAAATATTCTTTAAAAAATCCACGTCTATTGATCTTTTGAAAAAATATTCTTTAAAAAATCCACGTCTATTGATCTTTTGAAAAAATATTCTTTAAAAAATCCACGTCTATTGATCTTTTGAAAAAATATTCTTTAAAAAATCCACGTCTATTGATCTTTTGAAAAAATATTCTTTTAAAAAATCCACGTCTATTGATCTTTTGAAAAAATATTCTTTTAAAAAATCCACGTCTATTGATCTTTTGAAAAAATATTCTTTAAAAAATCCACGTCTATTGATCTTTTGAAAAAATATTCTTTAAAAAATCCACGTCTATTGATCTTTTGAAAAAATATTCTTTAAAAAATCCACGTCAATTGATCTTTTGAAAAAATATTCTTTAAAAAATCCACGTCTATTGATCTTTTGAAAAAATATTCTTTAAAAATCCACGTCTATTGATCTTTTGAAAAAATATTCTTTAAAAAATCCACGTCTATTGATCTTTTGAAAAAATATTCTTTAAAAAATCCACGTCTATTGATCTTTTGAAAAAATATTCTTTAAAAAGTCCACGTCTATTGATCTTTTGAAAAAATATTCTTTAAAAAATCCACGTCTATTGATCTTTTGAAAAAATATTCTTTAAAAAATCCACGTCTATTGATCTTTTGAAAAAATATTCTTTAAAAAATCCACGTCTATTGATCTTTTGAAAAAATATTCTTTAAAAAATCCACGTCTATTGATCTTTTGAAAAAATATTCTTTAAAAAATCCACGTCTATTGATCTTTTGAAAAAATATTCTTTAAAAAATCCACGTCTATTGATCTTTTGAAAAAATATTCTTTAAAAAATCCACGTCTATTGATCTTTTGAAAAAATATTCTTTAAAAAATCCACGTCTATTGATCTTTTGAAAAAATATTCTTTAAAAAATCCACGTCTATTGATCTTTTGAAAAAATATTCTTTAAAAAATCCACGTCTATTGA